GTCATTGCACTCCAGCCTGGGTGACGGAGCAAGACTCTGTCTCAAATAAATAAATAAATAAAAGCACTGGCCCACGGTTAGATCGTGGTAAGTCTAATTATCTTCCATCTTGGAGGACTCATGCCCTTATACTGTTGGGGACATTTCGGGGCCCCAAGGGACCCAGGACAGGCTACTTCCTTAACTAAGGGGCTTACTTCCATTGTTTCTCTGCCCCTGAGGACAAAGGAACCATTATTATCATCCCCATTTTGCAGGTAAAGAAACTGAGGCAGATAGAGGCCAAAGACACTTGCCAGTCAGCAACGGGTTTGTATTCAGGTTTGTCCCTTAACTGTGACTTTCTGTTGCACTGCTGGGGGTGGGAATGCCATCGTCTTGTGTGGTCCGGGAGTCGCAGGTAGGTTCGGGGCCACGGAGGATCGAAGCCCCTTGTCCTCTATGTGTGGACTCAGTACTTCCTTTTTTCCTCTTTGCTTCCATCCCAGGGAGAGTCCTTCCTGTGCTGGATGGGACCTTCCAGGTCCTAAGTTTTTGTGGCTGCAGAGTCAGCTCAGAGCCATTGGGCCAAACTCAACAGACCCACAGACAAACTGTAGCACATGCTCTCAGGCTCAGGGCTGCTGCGTGGCCTTTTTCTCTCTCCTCCTCTCCCTGGCATTTTTTTGCAATTTCTGGGACTTTGGGTTCCTCTCTGGCGTCCACTTTCTCTGGGCCTCCCAGGGTCTCTGTAACTGTCTAGACCTTCATCCTCCTCCCACAGCCCAGGCCACTACCCTAGCCACTGTCTGAAACTGACCTCGGCTGAGCCACTAATCCTGGTATTACAGGCAGCTCCAAGCTCAGGAACCCCAAGCTCCATCCTGTGAGAGGACAGACAGGTCCTGGACGCTGCACGGGTGGCCCTGGACGCTGCCTTCCAGTCACTGGGCTCCTTGGGAAGGGGCTCAGATGCTGCTCCAGGGTTCCAGAGTGACCAGGGTTGGGGGTGGATTTTCAGAGCAGCAGCCTAGGCCCTCCTCCATCCATCATTTCCTGGTCTGGCCTGGCTGGGCCATTCCCTGGTCCTGGAGAGGTTGGAGGTGTC